ACACACACACACACACACACACACACACACACACACACACACACACAGGTGAGAGACCATATGAAAGCCAGAGATGACAAATATGTAACCTGCAGCTACAGATAGCAATGGTTAAAACCATCACATATTCTCTAACTCAGGATGGGAGCCTACCGTAGATGTCCTCTAAAAGACTCCACCCAGCAGGGGATCGAGAAGATGCAGAGACTCAGAGCCAAATTTTGGACAGAGCACAGGGAGTCTTATGAAAGAAGGGGGAGACAGAAGGACTGGAGGAGACAGGAACCACATAGAGTGGCAAACAAAGCCAAAAAACGCTGGGCCCAGGGTGGACTGCAGAGAATGATGCATCAAAATACAACTGAAACCTCCTGCTCACATGCAGCCCATAGACAGCTCAGTCTCCAAGTGGGTTCCCTAGTAAGGGGAGAAGAGACAGTCTCTGACATGAACTTGGTTGCCAGCCCCTTGATCATTGCTTCCTGGTGGGGAGACCTAACCAGCTCACAGAGGAAGAGGATCCAGGCAGTCCTGACGGGGCCTGATAGGCTAGGGTCAGATGGTAGAAAGCAGGACTTCCTCTATCAGTGGACTAGGGAAGAGCGATAGGGGAGGAAGAGGGAGTGCTCAATCTGTGAGTCAAGATTAGACAAACTTTACAGCAATCCTGAGTATCTACACAGGTGAGCAATATCTTAAGGATGTCTGAAAATCATTTTCATCTCAAATATTTTCTCTTTGATTCTACGTCTTTACAACATGCTTATTTTGGGGAGATTTAAAGACATCTCCAGTATGAATGGTTGTTAATTTTAAGTCATTTTAAACAGAACATTCTCAATATTTGAGATCCTAATAAATATTTATTTTTATGAGGCCCCAATCATATATTATCTTGTAAATATATGTATAATAAGCAAGCGGAAGGAAAAATAACTTGGTTCTGGTAAAGGTCGCTGTGTGTAACTATATAATAACATGTATCGTATATAAAATATTAAGTCTTGAATGATAACTGGTAGACCTAGAGAGAAATTTGTAGTGCTGGGCACTGAGAACAACTGAGAAGAAGGAGCAGGGATGAGGACATAAGGAATGTAATCTATTTTATTTTAATATTTTGGATACCTCACATACAGGAAAGAAAGTAATTATGAAGAAGTTACTTTTTTAATAGCTTGTGAGACTACATACAAAGTAGATCTTTATTATGAACTGAATTTCATATTTAAAAGATTTATGCGGTGTTTACAGATAAAAATGGTTTTATTTTTCAAAACTTATTAAAATAAAGCTTACTGGTTATCAGGATCGATGGTCCAAACAAATAAGAAAAGATTAAAAAAACACAGGAACTCCACAAAGAGAGCAACAGAACCAAAAAATCTGAGCACAGGGGTCTTTCCTGAGACTGACACCCCAACCAAGGACTATGCATGGAGATAACCTAAGACCCCTGCACAGATATAGCCCATGGCAGTTCAGTATCCAAGTGGGTTCCATTGTAATAGGAACAGGGACTGTCTCTGAAATGAACTGATTGACCTGCTCTTTAATCACCTCCCCCTGAGTGGGGAGCAGCCTTACCAGGCCACAGAAGAAGACAATGCAGCCACTCCTGATGAGAACTGATAGACTAGGATCAGAAGGAAGGAGAGGGGGACCTCCCTATCAGTGGACCTGGGGAGGGGCATGCATGCAGAGGGTGGAGGAAGGGAGGGATTGGGAAGGGAAGAGGAAGGGAACCACAGGGGGATAGAAAGTGAATAAAGTGTAATTAATAAATAATTTTAAAAAAGAAAAAAATTAAAAAAAAAATAGGATGAGTACATTTCACCTTTACCCCATGCTGGTGTTTAACGAAGAAAGCCTGATGCCACCAAGGATTTCAAATGCTTCCTACTACCTTAAAAGCAACCCAGACATAAGACGGGTTTGACTCCTGGTGACCTATATGGAAACTGAGGCTTCAGCTAAGGAAATTTTGAGTGAGGAAAAGCTAGGTGCCCTGCACATACACACCCCCGCGCGCGCGTGTGTGTGTGCGCACACACACACACACACACACACACACACACACACACACACACACCTCCAGTCTCCCTTCCCTGTCTCTACAAGTGCTACACATTATTCTCTCAAGAACCCCTGCATTATGAGATGATATAAAATTCTAAATGTGGACTAAAAAAAAAAAAAAAAGAAAAGAAAAGAAAAGAAAAGGCTTTGAAATGGTATAGTAAATTGAATTTAGTTACTTTTTTTCACTTAATAATAACCCAAACAAAATAATTCAAAGAAACCTAGATATCAAGTGATATTTAATTTCAACACAGTACTACAATTCTATTATTTTGCTTGTCTATGGCAGCTCTGTTTAGGGCACACTGGTTCCAGATTTTGAAGGCAGAAAGAGAAGTTCCCTACCTTAACAGTGATGCAGTGAGTTTCAGGAACACCATGAACATACAGCAAGCTCTCACACTGTGGTGAGTTGGGCAGCTTCTTCACATGGCAGAACTCTGCCAAGTGTGGAACGAAGAATTACAGAAAAATCTGCCAAGAAAGGATAAATATGTGCTCTTACTGCCTGGTAGGGTATAAAGCATATGTGAAGAGATTTCAGTGGTCACAGTGAGTATGTTGCCCTAATCAGACGAACTCAGTACCTGATTACCATGGACAAGCACAGCACTGCTATCCAGCCTAGGCTGCAGCCAGGAGGCTTCGGGGTCTAGTGCTGTGGCTAGGGTTATGGATGGAGGGACACATGCAGTCAGGGTGGAGCACTGGTTGTGAAAGCTGGTTATGAGTCTGGCTATGAAGGCTGTGGATACATGTCTCCAACCATTATGCCCAGGATATAGGATCTCTGACACTGTTTCAGCATCTGAAATAATAACTCTCCGAAGATGACTTCACTTACTCTGCAGCCGAATTCATTGTAGTGTTTATCTGTGCACAAAATCTGAGTATGACAGATTTTCAGTTTACAGCACCAAAATGTCATCATAATGCTGGCATTCTTCAGTTTTATTTGTAACTGGTTTATCTCTTCATCTTCTAGTAAATCTTTATAATTTATAGATAAAATTTAATTTCTGTTCATAAATTTAATTACCTATGCATGCTGATGAAGCTCAGCAATTCCATTGTGAAAGAGAGAATCCAATAAACAAACAGACAAATTACTGATTGCTCCAAATAATAGTTTGGGATTGAATAAAAGCTTCACAAAGATCAATAAGTCACATTTTTCCATTTCTTTACTAGGTAATATTCATAGTCAAGTCAACAAGAAGCAGTTGTCAACAGAACTATATATCTTTATATGTTAAACATGTTTTATCACATTTTGGAATATTTCTCAATTCACGCTCAATTTAAATGAATTCAGTAAGCTTGGCCCTTTAATTATAAGATCAATAGAATATTTTCGATTAAACCGTATCATTAAGCATGCTGGGAAAGTAAACCACATTTGAAAAAATGTTAATTTTGCAATCTTACCCAACTCTTTTATAATTATTATTTGATAATTAAATGTGCCATTGATCTATGAACTACTAATGAAGGAGGATAATTTTTCATATGAGACTAGTTGATTCTTAACTCAAAATCTTTTAGCTACACTTGTTCACTTAACTGATTATCTTACTTCATTCAGCTCTATGAAAGGACTTTTTTTTTAAGTCCTCATCATAGTAAAGCATTTGAAATCCCAACACTGTTTTTCAGCTCAGCTCTAAACTATTATTTGGGACTATCTACTGTTTGTTTGTATGATTATGATTATGTGATAATAAAATTTATCTCTACACTTTTATTATAGATAGTACACTGACTTTTCTATTACATCACTAAAATGGCCTATCCTGATTGCTTTTTTACCATTGTGCATGGCTCAACTAAAATTCACCTTTCTGTGAAATATCCTTAAGATTAAGCTAACGACATGTATTAGTTCACAATAAAGTCTTCACTTTCCAAGATACTGACTGTTTCTCCTGAGTGCAGGAGTTGCAAACATACACCACTATATCCAGCTTTGATATATATCTTTTTCATGACCTTCTTTTATTATTTATCCTTAAGCATGCATAGATGTACTTCTGTATGTGTGAATATAAAGGGGCTAGATAAATCAATATACTACTTGCTGCTTCTTTGAAATTGTAGAAATAAGTTCAGGGGCCATTGTTAAGCTCGTTTTCCTTTGTTTCATCTGTTTGAATGTGAGTGCATGCCACTATGCAATCAAAACAGAAACACAGATGAGACTTCAGTCGTGTGTGTACACCTGTCACACTAACCATGGCAACCACAAGATTCTTTAGCTTTTGAATGTACTTACTGCTGCTGGGGTTCAAAATGACTCACTGAAAGATTTTTTCAGCACAGTTTTTCCCTTGTAGAATGAAGAGTAAAGTAGACTATGATAAAGCAGAAAAATAATTTACCTGAAAGAAAAATGTTGGTTTAAATATTCCTTCTAAAGATGTAAGCCATTTTGAATCACACTTTACTTAAAAGACTCATTACAAGCTGTACCAGACAGAACAATTTTTTCCCCTTTACCCAACAGGATTGCTGTGTCCTTTGGAAGAACAGTTGATTAATCCAGTTGAGAAGAGATATTATCAAGAATGGTTTTTCCAAACATCAATCAATCAATCAACAAACAAACAAACAAATAAATAAATAAAGCAAGTATGTTTTCTGGTATATAGTTAATGTCACACAACGTGAAAACTGATTAAAACTCAAAGCCTAGGATATGGTTGTATTCTGATGAGAGTTAAGCTTGGATTTATTTCCTACCCTTAAGATGAAGACTATTAAATGTGAGAAAAGGGGATAGCTCCCCTCACATCAATCTTTGCAACACAGTGTGTTAAGTATTGCCATTCATATTTGGAGGATTACTAATCCTGAGAAACTTAAAGCCTCCTGGTAAAACAGTTTATGACCTTCAAAGCAGGGAAATACTTCTCAAAATAGTCAAACATTTACAAATCAGTAATTTCTTGCGATCTTGTGAGCTCATTTTTTGAGACATAATAATGTAGGAAAGGCATGCATAGTAGAAAATATTATGTAAGGGAAAAGGTATTTTAATAATATTAGGTATGTGGATAAAATAAGATTACTGTTTTAAAACTAAATACACGGTTGACATTATAATAGAGAATAAATACAAATTATGAGGTAAAAAATGGCTTGATACAGGAGATGGCTGCATGGGATATGAGGAAGAGGGGAAAGGAAGTCATGTGGCAAAGATCTTGAGCATCTCAGAAAATACTGTAAGTAGAGTCCAATCTGCAGTCATAAAATAAATAATGTTATAAATGGAATATACTTGAAAACTATTTAGTCTGGTTATAAAATGAATTTAATGTCTTGATTTTTTTTGATTCTAGGTTAAATTCTAGTATTTCAATGATCCAAGAAAGTGATTTATATGATGATGAATAGACTAAGAGTAAGGTAAAAAAGGTTTCTGTTCTGCCTATAATTTTCTGTATATGTATATGCATATATGTATATATTTATGATTAGGCTCATGCATCTAAACATGCCCTTTTCTTTTGAAAAAAAAAACTTTTTCATTTGTTAATCTCAGAACATGTTTGATGATTATGAAACGTTTAAATATTTTAAATAAGATCATTTGTTAGAATTTACATGGTTATCAGATGTTACAAATTAACTGAATGATATAAAATTGGAATGAGCAAATAGTTATAGAAAAAGAGGCTGCCTAATATGAATGATAGGAGAAGCACAATAATGAATTCTACTACAGGAACTTAAATTCTACTTTGAAGTCACTGACATTTTCTCATAAAAAGGGACACGATGAGTTCAAGGGCGTTCTAACTAGGCAGAGAAACGAGCTGAAAATTGTAATGAGTTATATGCCTCCTTTGTGTTAGCAAAGAGACTAATGAGGTGTTTCTAGCAAATTAATAGCTTGGAATGAATGAAAACAGTGTCCACAGGTGGTGTCACGTGTTCGGGACAGAGTATATAAGCTTCTCCCTACGTGCGTAGACGTTCATGTTTAGGATCTTACCTTGAAAAAACACATCAAACCTACATCTCCTGACACCATGAGCTACTACAGCGGCTACTACAGAGGCCTGGGCTACGGCTATGGTGGCTTCAGAGGCCTGGGCTGCGGCTATGGCTGTGGCTGTAACAGCTTCCGCAGACTGGGTTATGGCTGTGGTTATGGAGGCTACGGATATGGCTCTGGCTATGGAAGCTATGGTTCTGGCTCTGGCTATGGAGGCTACAGATATGGCTGCTGCCGCCCTTCATGCTGTGGAGGGTATGGGTTCTCCAGTTTCTACTGAAATTCTGCTCTAGTTACTCAACATTTGATACCTTGACAGTTGTTCCGAGAAATCTCAGTCCAGCAGCTGTGATGGTGCCAAGACAACTGAATTGGTTAAATTCTAGAATTTTAAAGACTCCATTTATAAAATGTGTCTGCACCCTAAGCTTGGAAACTAAGAATGGATTTACGTTCAATTGCCAATAAATGATTCAAAAAGAAATTTGAAATGTGAACTTTTCTGCTTTATTTCATTTATGTGTAGATGTAGAATATGTTGACATCTGTCAAGTAAAATGAAATGCATCTAAAAATATATGCATGTAAATATCCCAACACACACATTCAGCTAGATATACATAGATATAAACAAAGCAAGAGGAAGAGGGGTTGGGGGAGGGCAGAATAGTATTGAAAGGGTGACAAGATAGAAATATGCTTGCTATGATTGGCCAGCGATGCTTAATATTAACATTGATGTTTTTTATTTACCTACTAAGTTTGTAACTTTGACAGATCAAGACTTTTGTTAACATTTGCTTCTTTAATAAGCTTATTTTGTTGAACCAACCAATTGACAGGTTATCTATTTGGGGATTTAACTTACCAATTTTAAAACCCAACTCTCAGTGAAAATTTATTCTGACTTATACTTTCAGTTAATGGTAGAAGTTCGGATGGTCCACCCACATGGGCTGAGCCTGTAGTATCATGGGTATTTTCAGGAGGAATTTTCACGCTGACTTAAATAATACCCTTCATAAATACTTATCACAAAGATTAAAAGGAGAAAAATAAATTATTACTATTGTTGACATTCTTAGTTTAGTCAGTAATATAACAATTTTTTTTTCTTTAAGATTTATTGATCAATTTCTATGTTGAGAGGAAATGTATTGCATTTTTAAGAGTTTAACACTTCCATAAATACTGAGAATATTTTCACCCTTCTATCCATAAAAATGACTAACAACTTACATAAGCCATGAGTTGACACTTCTAAATAAGTAATAATAGCTTAAGTTTTCTTTGGATCCAATCAATAGAAAGAAAAATATGGGATTCTCAACAAATACTGCAAAAAGAAATTTTTATCTTTTGCTTATAGAAAAATAATGAATTTTTCCCAAAGATTTATTTTTATTTGTATTTTATATGTGTGAGTGTTTTACATGTAAGTTTACAGTGTGTGCATGCGCTTTTGGGGGCCAACAGAGAGTAGCGGATCTCCAGGAATTGGAGTTGCAAGTGGTGAAGAGTCCCCACTTGGGTTCTTGAAACAAACCCACCTCCTTAGAAAGAGTAACAAGTGCTCCTATCACTGATCATCTTTCCCACTTGGCACTAAACGTTTTATATGATAACAATTGGCATGGCAAAATATATCCATATGATGGAAAAAAAGAAAAGAAAAATAAAATACTGCTGTCTTATATTTTCTTTTTTTATAATTTTTTAAACATTCATCACAGGTTATTTACTTTGTATTCCAGCCGTAGCCCCCCTCCCTCATTCCCTCTTATATTTTCTTTAAGGTGTTTTTTCTTGTTTTAATGACAAAATAAACTTTGCATAGCACATTTGTACATCTTCTTCCATGAAGATGCATTTAACATTTATCAAGTTACTGAAGGGTTTTTCATTTGTATTCCATATAGTTTCTACAAATAAGATGATTTTATGTCTCAAAATATTAAAAAACAATTTAGCAAATTATATACTCAGAAAGTATCAGAATTATTGTCAATTATTAATATTTTTATAAATGTATCTTTTAGTTAAATAGTGGTTATTCCTAAACCAGCTGTATACCCAAATCGCCACACAGAGAGTAGGATTTATTTAATTAACCTAGAGCACAATGCTGGGCAATAGTTACTCCATCCTAAACCTCCAAGCCTGCAGAATTTCATCCCATTCAGATTTCCTTTTTAGTGATATCTTAGGTCCAGTTTATCTCTTCTTGTGGTTCCAAGTACTCTCCTGATGATCTCTCCTCTCCGACTCCTCCCACTCGCTTCTTTCTCCTCCCCCCTGGACCAGGATGTTCCACCCTATTCTTTCCATTGATCAACAATGGCTGGTTGTTTTATTGACAATACAGAAAACTAACGCTGGCATGCTTACACAAATGAGACAGGTGATGGCTGGAATAAACATCAAAACTCAATGTCCAGATTGAAACCAGAGAGTGGGGGAGAGAAATCAGCATTTGGATGAACAAGGGTAAATTGTATACATTCCACAAGAACATTATACCACCACAACACAGTAACAAGAAATTCTTCACTGTGATTTAATTATAGTTCTAAACCATTCTTCCAGATGGCCTAACACAAAAATCATAAACTTACTTAAAATATTATGAAAATTAAGGGTGGAGTTTGTATCTCAAGCATGAGGTTCATGAGAGTAAACATAGGAGTTGACAGTCTCCATTGAAGCTTCATAAGGTTATGCCTGCCTCTGAATAAAAAGTAAATGAATGAAATTTGGCTAGAGTAACAAAGACACTCAAAGAAAGGCTAGTGCAGTTTTATTACTGTGTTGAACACAGAACAATGGCTGGAGTTCATGTGAGGCTTGAAATACTTGTTGGAGTGTCTGATAAGCTGCCCAAGTTATTCTCTGCATGGTCTGTGCTTTAATATGGCGGGTAGCCATATATTCCATTTATACAATTTGTTGAGTGCCAATTGACAGCTCTGCTTTAACATTAAGTAAGGTCAATACAAACAAACCCATTAGACCAAAGAATGTGTCCCTTTATAATTACAAATGGAATATTACAGTCTTAAAAAACATGTCATTCAAAAATTATCATAAATCCCAAGAAAAACTTAACATGGTAATTATAGTCATAAAATAAATTATATGAGACTCAGCTTTTAAGATCTGGCTACATGTGGGTGAGGTTTAGTCAGTTTCAAAGTCAGCCTTAGGCATCGTTGCCTCATTTGGATGAGCCAAAGGAAGACTGAAAACCAAGCCTACAACGTTCCTAAAGAGTATCTTATTATCCACTCCCCTTTTCTGATCGTGCCTTACATTTACTGAATTTAAGTTCTTCTTAAATTATAAAGGTCTTTTAAAGTGAACATTCAGGCTAAGCAAGAAGGAGGACCCTGAATTACATGATCAATTCTCACTCAGAAAGAAAAATGGAATGGACATTGGAAGAAGGAGAAAACAGGAAACAGGACAGGAGCCTACCACAGAGGGCCTCTGAAAGACTCTACCAGCAGTGTATCAAAGCAGATGCTGAGACTCATAGCCAAACTTTGGGCAGAGTGCAGGGAATCTTATGAAAGAAAAGGGAGATAGTAAGACCTGGAGAGGACAGGCGCTCTACAAGGAGAGCAACAGAGCCAAAATATCTGGGCACAGGGGTCTTTTCTGAGATTGATACTCCAACCAAGGATATAACCTAGAACTCCTGCTCAGATGTAGCACATGGTACCTCAGTATCCAAGTGGGTTCCCTAGTAACAGGAACAGGGACTGTCTCTGACATGAACTCAGTGGCTGCCTCTTTGATGACCTTCCCCTAAAGGTGGAACAGCCTTGCCAGTCCACAGAGGAAGACAATGCAGCCAGTCCTGATGAGACCTGAGAAGCTAGGGTCAGACGAAAGGGGAGGAGGACCTCTCCTATCAGTGGACTTGGAGAGGGGTATGAGAGGAGATGAGTGAGGAAGGGTGGGGTTGGGAGGGAATGACAGAGGAAGCTAAGGCTGGGATACAAAGTAAATAAACTGTAATTAATATAAAAATAAATATTTAATTAAAAATGAATGTTCCCGTCATACCAACTCCCCCCTCTTTCATATAATTCCCTGCACTCTGCTGAAGGTTTTGTTATGAGTCTTAGTATCTGCTTTGATACACTGCTAGGTAGAGTCTTTCAGGGGTCCTCTGTGGTAGGCTCCTGTCCTGTTACTTGTTTTCTCCTATGTCTAATGCACCTCCCATTTGTCTTTCTAAGTGAGGATTGATCATCTAAACCTGGGTCCTCTTTCTTGGATAGGAGCTCCAGAAGGACCAAATATTTCTGGGCACAGGGGTCCTTTCTGAGACTGACATTCAACCAAGGACCATGTATGGATATAACCTAGAACTTCTGCTTGGATGAAGCCCGTGCTAACTCAGTAAACAATTGGTTTCTCATAGTAAGGGGAACAGGGACTATTTCTAACAGGAACTCAATGACTGGCTCTTTGACCTCCCCACCCCCCAAAGGAGGAGCAGTCCTGCTAGGCCACAGAGGAGGACTTTGCAGACAGTCCTGAAGATACCTGATAAAACAGGGCCAGATGAATGGGGAGGAGGTCCTCCCCAATCAGTGGACTTGGAAAAAGGCAGGGAGGAGATGAAGGAGGAAGGGAGAATTTGGGAGGGAATGAGGGAGTGGGATGCAGCTGGGATACAGAGTTAATAAAATGTAACTAATAATAAAATAATAAAAAATTAAAAAAATAAAGATAGTAAATGTCATGATTTACATGTGACCAAAGTTATGTCAATGATACTCCAGGTATACTTTGAGGTTTTTTTTCCCAAAAAAACTACATTCCACTTTTCCTTCATTTGCACAAACAAATGTAATTTAGTTGCAATAGAAATATATAAGTTGATTCTAAGTTTCTTTTATTTGTTTGAAATGATAAGTTAAAGATAAAATATTCAGAATCCATAACAGATTATTAAAAAAAATAAATTTTCAGAGGATTTTAGGTGATAAAATATGTTTGAAGTAATAAATTACCATTAATTAACATTTTAGATAGGTTCAGTTGGTATTGTAGGTATTACCTCAAAATTACTTGAAAGCAACTATAACAATGGAAGAGTACAAATAGGCAAAGGGTTGTGACGGGTTCATGCCTTATACTGAGTATGAAGAACTAAGCAATGTTGACTTGAGTGAGCGGGCTGTAGGCAAGTTCATTTTAGCTCCTCATCCCTTCACTTGGGTAAACAGGAACAGTGGGAAACTGGAATCAGGTGATATTTGAAATGGTACATGAAAGACAGAGACTGCTCATAACAGACAGGGAAAGAGAGTAACAAGAAGAGAGTAGGCACAGATGTCATCTGGGAAAGACCTGAAGCTGGATCCCTGTGGAGACAAGTCAAGCTTGAGAGAGTTCTGCCAAGATGCTGAATGGCTTTTTAATCACTGTCACTGTCTCTCTCTCCTCTCGTAACTAGATTGTGTTATGTTGTTAAACAAAAATAAATATCACATAATTGAGTGTAAATCCCGAACGAATTGTGACAGTCAAGCATACTCAAAATCTTATACTTCTAGAAATCAGGTGACAATTTTTGGCTATTGACTGTGAGTCAAGTCCCTGACTCACATGATACAAAATCATGTGACTCTTTTGAAAGTACTGATACATTTCATTCTAGGCTATTTCCCATTTTTTTGGATTCAAACCATAGTATTGCACCCAACAAAATGCTCTAGAAAAAATTTAATTTACATTCATTAATACTTAGTGTATTTGGTATTGTCTAATAATAATTCTCTTAAGGTCTATCATTATCTTTGTTCTGGAATATACAGCGACTCTGTCTAATAAGGCTACAGCACTAAGTTCTGATACAAACTCACTAGGTAGCCAAATAAATCTTAAACATCCTTAACAGATGTTGGTCAAATGACAGGAGAGAGATGAATGTGTTGTCTCAGGTAATTACAATTCATGGAATGACACAAAGGAGGGGCACGTGTTTTATCACATACTCTACCCAGAGTATATAAGCTTCGCTGTAAGTGCTGGTGTTCATTCACACTCACACTCTCACCTCAAATACAAGAACAATCCTACCACCCCTGACACCATGAGCTACTACAGCGGCTACTACGGAGGCTATGGCTATGGTGGCTTTGGAGGCCTGGGCTGTGGCTATGGCTGTGGCTATGGCTGTGGCTGTAACAGCTTCCGCAGACTGGGCTATGGCTGTGGTTATGGAGGCTATGGATATGGCTCTGGCTATGGAGGCTATGGATATGGTTCTGGCTACGGAAGCTACGGATATGGCTGCTGCCGCCGCCCTTCATGTTGTGGAAGATATGGTTTCTCCAGCTTCTACTGAGTGCATTGCTGATATCAGAAGCAAACAGGAGACTTCCAAATATATGGGGTCCTATTCTTTTCTCTTATTCCAGACATGATCTTATTTCAGACAGACATGTATCCATTTTCTGTGACATTAATTTATACTAATTAGGAATGCTTTAACAGGTTCTGTGAACATTTTGTATCTCTGTACAAATATTTAACCTCTCCAAACCATTACCAAAATGCATATTTAATATGAATAAAACCTTTAATTTACTGTTTTGTTTTTTTAAATTACTGTCACCATATGTCTCTAGCAGCATCTTGGATAAAAATTATACTTTATTATCTAATAAATATTTGAATTTTTACCATTACTTTAGCATCTTATTTTGCAACTAATATAAATATTAGGAAGTGTTCATATCTTGCACACTACTGCTTGATGAAAATGATTTCTAACTCATTTTCTAACTAATTCTACACAAGCTGTGAAGAACAAATAGGAATAACTTGCTTCCATTTGCTCATTCAAGATATGAACCCTCTCAAATGCCTCTTAACTGTTCAGTCACTGATAAAGCTCCTTCTTCTGTTTTGCTGTTAAACATTGTTATTGGATGCATCTTCTTCTGGTAATCCTGTTCTAGCAAGTCACAACATTGCCTATTCCTAACCTTTGTCTTAGGGAATGGTAGTCATAGGTGAGTCTTACTCCCTTCCTTAGCCATCTCTGCAGCTCCAAGAATGCATGATCTTTTATTCCAATGATAATTACTGATATTAATTCTGAAATCATGTATACACACACACATACACATGAGCATGTGAGCAGACACACATGCAAGTAAGCACACACACACACTCACACACACACACATTTGTTATAAAGTGACTGTTAAGAGTGAAAGCCAGATGTTAGAGAAGTAGATTGGTAGAAATGTAAAGAAAGGATAAGTGACCAAATTAGCATGAGAGTAGAAGCTGGAGAAGCAGCTATGCTGCCATGAGTTCTATTTGTTTGTCAATGGACTGCAAAGTCAAGCTACAGAGGTGAGAGGAGAAGACCAGGCCCAAACCAAAAGTTTAAAAACAAACAAGCAAACAAACACCCTAACCAAGCAAGCAAGCAAGCAAACAAACAAAAACTTAGGAAAGGAAAGGTGGAGGATCTATGTATACAACAGGCAGACAGCGGTTAAGTAAGCCATATTAAGGACCAAACCAGGTTAAAGCCCAGGGGCAGTTATAAATTCTCTGTGGCTTGGTCTTTTATGCACATAGCAGGTGTTCAAATAACAGGTCTCTTGGAATCAACACCATCATGATCCTAGGTGCACATTTTTGTGGTGTTCAGATGAGGTAATTATACCTTTTACTTGGTTTGATATATCTAATTTATGCCTATTTTTTGTTGATATTATATTAACAAGCACACATATCCATATAGTCCCAATATGTATCAATAAATTAATAGAATAGCATTCTGTCTACTGCTAGGAATAAATGATTTGTCAGTGCTGCATAAGTTGTTCCAAATGTATTTCAAGTGTCCACCCAGGCACACAGTTGTCCTCCATCTTTATCATTTTTAATTAATTATTGTTATAGGCTTTTTTTTAATAATTCATTCACTTTATATCCCAAATCTCATCTCCTCCTGGTCTCACCCTCCCTCTCTCTTTCCTCTATACCTCTTCCCTAGCCCACTGAAATGGGGAATCTTCCTCTTCTACCATCTAGCCCTAGCCTATCAAATCTCATCAGGACTGCCTGGGTCCTCTTCTTCTGTGGCCTGTCAAGGCTGCCCTGCCAGGATGGGATGTGATCAAAGAGCAGGTAACAGAGTCCATGCCAGAGACAGTTCCTGCTCCCCTTACTAGGGAAGCCACATGGATACTTAGCTGCCTATGGGATTCATCTGAACAGGGGGTCTGGATCTTTTCCATACATGGTCCTTGATTGGTGCATCATTCTCTGCATGGCCCCCTGGGCCTAGATCTGTTGGCTTTGTTGGTCTCTTTGTGGAGCTCCTGTCTCTCCAGGTCCTTCTATCCTGCCTTTTTCCATAGGATTCTCTGTGCTCTGGCCAGCATTTGACTATGAGTCTGCTTATGCCTCAATACCCTGCTGGGTCAAGGACATCTATGATAGGCTCTGGTCCTGTTCTCTCTCTTCAACTGCTTCTGGTATCTATTCTGTCTGTCCTTCTGATTGAGAATTAAGCATTCTCCATAAGGTCCTCCTTGTTATTTAGCTTCTTTAAGTCCATGGATTTTAGTATGATCATTGTATATTATATGGCTAATATCTGCATATAAGTGAGTATATATCTTGCATGTCTTTCTGCTTCTGGGTTAATGTACTAAGAATGATTTCTTAGCCCCATCCATTTGAATGCAAATTTTACAATTTCCTTGTTTTTAATAGTTGAGTAGTATTCTATTGTGTAAATATACTACAGTTTCTGTATCTAGTCTTCAGTTGAGGGACACTTAGGTTATTTCCAAATTCTGGCTATTACAAATAAGGCTGCTATGAACGTAGTTGAGCAAATGGTCTTTGTTGCATGGTGGAACATCTTGCATGTAAATGCCCAGGAGTGGTTTAACTGGGTCTTAGGTAGCACTATTCCCAATTTTCTGACAAAGTGCCAGATTGATTTCCAAAATGGTTGTACAAGTTTACAATCCCACCAGCATTTGAGGAGGGTTCCCCTTTCTCCATGTCATGGCCAACATGTGCTGTCACACGAGCTTTGTTTATTTTAGCCATTATGATAAGTGTTTAAGATGGGATCTCTGAGTCATTTTGATTGGTGTTTCCCTAATGACTAAGGATGTTGAACATTTCTTTACGTGTTTCTCCTCCACTTGACATTCCTCTGTTGAAAATTCTCTGTTTACTTTGTATCCCATTTTTAATTGGATCGTTTGGTTTGTTGATCTTTAATTTTTTAAGTTATTTATATATTTTGGCTATTAGCCCTCTGCAGGATGTAGGGTTGATAAAGATCTTTTCCCAGGGCTGGGGACATGGCTCAGCAGTTAAGAGCACTGTCAGCTCTTTCAGAGGTCTTGAGTTCAATTCCCAGCAATCGCATGGTGGCTTATAACCATCTACACTGGGGATCTGATTCCCTCTTCTGGCTTGTAGGTGTACATGCAAAAAGAGCACTCATCTATGTACAACCAACCAACTAACCAAACAACCAACCAACCAAACAAACAAACAAACAAAAAGGACCTTTTTCCACTCTATCATTTTGTTCTGTTGACAATTTCATTTGCTTTACAGAAGTTTGTTTGTTTCATGAGGTCCCATTTATTAATTGTTGGTCTTAGAGCCTGAGCTGTTGGTGTTTTGTCAAGGAAATTGTCTCCTGTGCCAACGAGGTCAAGGCTTTCCCCCAGTTTTTCTTCTAACAGGTTTAGTGAGTCCAGTTTTATGTTAAAGTCTTTGATCCACTTGGACTTTAATTTTGTGCAGGGTGATAAACATGGATCTATTTGTATTTTTCTACATGTCCACATCCAGTTAGACCAGCACCATTTGTTAAAGATGCAATATTTTTTCCATTGTATTGTTTTGGCTGCTTTGTCAAAAATAAGGTGTCCATAGTTGTGTGGATTTATTTTGGGATCTTTGATTAAATTCCATTGATTTACCAGTCTGTTTCTATGCCAGTACCAGGCAGTTTTTATTACTGTTGCTCTATAGTAAAGCTTTAGATCAGAGGTGGAGATACCTCCAGAAGATCTTTTATTGTAGAGGATTGTTTTAGCTATTCTTGAATTTTTTTTGTTTTTCCATATGAATTTGAAAATTATTCTTTCCAGTTATTTAAAGAATTGTTTTGTTATTTAATGAGAATTGCATTGAAACTGTACATTTCTTTTGGTTGGATGGCCATTCTTACTATGGGGATCCTACTGATCCATGAGCAGCGAAGATCTTTCATCTTCAGATGGTCTCTTACAAAGACAACCTATTCGCCACCACCATGATGCAAGAAACAAATGACATAGTGTCCTACAAAATAATTGATGGAAGCAGGTATGTATGTGTGTGCATATGCATGTATGCAAGTGTGTGTGTGTGTGTGTGTGTGTGTGTGTGTGTGTGTGTGTGTGTTGGGTATCATTCTGATTCCTTTTCAATTCATTAAATGACCCTTAATGTTCTATAGTCATTCTCCACTGTGGATGACACAAAGTGAAATGTTAATTAATAGTACACAGTTTTCTTTAATGATAAGAGATTCTTATGGTTGAGAATGATCCTATTATGATCCAAAAGATCGTGACTCTTTCTTCCCAGAGATTTTCTTCTTAGAACTCCCTTAAGGCCATGCAGAACTAGTTTGCTTGCTGATTTCTCTACAATTTATTCTTTCCAGTTCAGGACATCAACAGTAAATCTGGACTGGATCTTTCTCCAAGTTTCTTAGCCAATATATAAAATAACCATATGTGCATCCAGTTAATTCAAATTTGACCCCTCACTATCGATGTCAGAGATCTTTGTTAACTTCTGTACACTTAAAAGAGAAGAATAGCTGTTCGAATGAATTTTTATGGAATAAATTATATTTTGTATTTATATGTTATGTTTCAAATCAGACAATAGAAATAGAGCAAGGCAAGAGGGAAGGTAAAGAGGAAGAAAGAAGGAAGGACAAAAGGAAAATAGGTAGAGAGAAAAAGAATAGAAAGGGGGAGGACAAGGTGGCCGCGCAGGGAGAACACTGCCTCTGAGGAGCAGGACAACATTTTCCATACAGTGACCAAGACACTGAACTCTGGGCCCTAAAACAACAGCGATCCTGTTTTCCAGGTGAGAGGAAACCCCCACATCATGAGAATCAGTCAGGTCCACTCTCAGGTCAGCCGGCCAGAACTCAGAAGAGATCCCAGGTAGCACAGGCACTAGGTTGTCAGACCAGAGCCACAGGCCTGCATGTCCTGATCACCTTCCCAGGCTGAAGGGTGGGCACTAAAACACCAGAGACTGGGAGTCCCAATCGCGAGAAAA